TTTCGAAGGCGTCAATACCATGAGTGGCAGGTGGCTGAATTTTACGGAGACTTGCCACGGTCTCCAACGCAGTCAACGTTGGGTATATAACCGAATACGGTATTATTATTAATATTCATACGTTGGGAATGAACATATAATTAAAATTTTGAATGAATACGAAAAGCTTGAAAATGCGATATTTTGTAAAGAACTCACCAAAATATCTATTAATAGGCAATGCTATGAGAGGCCAGAATAATGTAACAGAGACATTTGTACAATGCAATTTTTAATACAGGAAATTAATGGCAATTGAAATGACAACGGCTGAATATTCTCGGTCGCTTCTTTAGCTTCGGTGCGGACTACTTTTCACTGTGCAAATTCGTTGCAATGCGTTTTTCAAATTTGTACCTGCTGACGATTATTTAAAAGTTACGGTGCTCAGCTGTTGCGTTAATGCTAAAGCGTATCTTGAAACATTTCTAAACGCTCTATTTAACTACTTAGCGAATAGTATGTGTATGTTTCTTTTTTTCTTTTAAGTTACACTTGGCAGTTTCTCAGATTTTTTCTGTGTTTGGCGCTTATCATATCTGCTTCATTTCCTTTTGATGTTAAAAAGCGTCTCAAGACAGAAAGAAATCAGTACCCCGAGAATAACATAAAATGGGTATTATGCAAATTGTGTTTTCTCAATAGCAGCTTATTTAGCATTATGCTGATAGGTTGACTTTACGGTATGTAGTCGTATAGATGTAGGGATAAACAGTTGGATCTTGCGAGGTATAGTGATTGCGAGTTTTGCGGGAAACAATTTGTCTTGTAGTGTACCGATTGGTCGTGATCCAAGTGCAGAACAGATTTTTCTGGCTAACTGTAATAATATTTTCACGACGGTGCTATTTATGGCGCCCTTCTTTTCATGAAGTTAATAGTGGGGCGTTAATTTTCGTTTCAATGCTGTCCGCCATCTGTGCCTCGTTTTGAAGGCAGAGTTTACAGTAGCTACATGGCAGTCATAGTGTGCAGTGTTGTAATGTCCTATTTCCATCATACGGAGTAGAACTCTTTGGTCAATTTCGTTTTTCTCAAGATGTTTGGAATTCATATGTATATCTTGCTGTTTAGAAAGGTAGCTAGTTTTGTAGTGTATAATCCTTCGCTGTATATATTGCTTAAAAATGAGAACTAATGCACATACGTATGAAGGTTGTAATGAAAAGTGCCCATCATCAGTGTATAATGAAAGTTCAACTTCGGTATACATGTTATTCTGCACTATCCTCATTTCTGAGCCGCTCATTCACCAAAGCGAGAGATCTCGGTTGTGATAATTTGGACATGGGATGGCAATCTTGTTTTATTCACGAATACCCTTGATCAAGGAATTTACCATGCTTTGCTTCAGACGGGATTGGTCACTCGGGTGAGCATCAAACTCAGAACTGATAGGCTCCCCCTCCTCGTCACCCGTGCTTTCTGCTTCCGAAGTTGATGGATGAGTGCCACTCCGCGGGCAGGAATCAGGAGACTACACTGCTGCATGGCTTTAGACAGTGCCTTTAAAAAGACACTCATGGCTGATGGCACAAAAATGGAAATGAGCTCCGCTTGTGATGAAAATGGCACCGGAGTGAGTTCGAGTCGAAGTCAGAATGTTTATGGCAGAGCCACATGACAGACAGCCAGTGAGCAGACTGCGTAGCTGATCGTTCGATTTTATTGAGAACCTGGCATCATTGTATCTTCGAATCCTTTTCATCGAACGTTCCTGATTGGCCGGAAACAGAGCACAATGAACAGCCCTTCTGAAGCTGCTGTCTCCCTACCCAGAAAATTGTAACAGATTTTGAAAATAATCGGAAGAGTGCACTCACGATTAATGAATGAACCAGTGAATGAATAAATGAATGGACGGCTCGAGTCTAGTAGGAAAGAATTCATTTTCCATGCTCTGTGCGGATCAGTCATCATCATTCTGCGGCACTCTATTATGCAAGTTAATGAGAAACAGGTTAGACTGCCTGTCTTGACATCTCTGTTTTCTGTCAAGCAGATAGCAGGTCAGCCTTAGATTTCTATAATACTAAAAACAGCAATGACATAATATTCAAGAGGGCGTCGAGTAGATCGTAAAGGCGATGGAACTTGCCGCATTTATCATATGTTGAGTGAGTCTGACTCGATGACTATCTTTAAGCTTGTGGATTGATCAGTACATGCTACTGTTTTGAACTAGAATTTCCTTTAATGAACCCCTTGAATTTCCTTTAATATACCCCTTCTTGGATTGTTTTGAAAAATTCTGATTTTGGCATTGCTTTGATCTTCCTTTATAATAACAGAAGAATGTTTTTTCTTAACCGTATTTGTTTACGTTGGAACTAATCTTTCTGGATTTCTAGAATAGTCGATGGACAGAAAGTCGATGTCGATCAAAGATAGCGGTCGTGTTAAGGTATATGCCTATTCAATCTTGATTTTTTGTCGTTTTATAATTTCCCTTATTCGCATTGATTATTTTCTTGTATATATGCTGTTTATGATTATCGATAATAATTGCTACGTTGCCTTTAATAATGAGAACCACGTTGCCTTTAGCTCGATCTGGATGCCTTATATCCCAGACCAACCTGAGGAAATTTTGCGACATTTGAAATTGGCGGTCCCTGTATATTTTTTGCAGGAGCCAAACCTTATGAAGCATCATATATAATGATCCTGATCCTCAGTCTAGCGTCGAGAATCGAAACGTTATTTATGAAATTTCTTGCAGTCTATGATCACATTTACATCAGCACGACCTATCACTGTTAAGAACCAGATAGCGATTCACATGAGAGCAGTTAAGTTCAGTAACGCTGTTCACTCTAGTTTTTTCGCCCATGCGTTTAATAATG